CCGAAACCTACAGTTTTTAAATGTGTGTGTTTTTTATGTTCCAAGAAATCACTCCCTACAGGTCAAGGATCTCAATTTTACTGGACCTGGCAACAAAAAGAAGCATCGCATCCATGCCGTCACTCCAAACCACCTGTTTAAAGGTTTTTTTTGGGGGATCAGATTGCACACAAATGGTTCATGAGTAGGGTCAGACTGGGGTCTTAAGAGTTGTTTGATACGAGGTGGATGACACGTCCCTCTGGCTTTACAGCTCTCAGAGGTCCTCTGTTCATGGACTCTGGACGATCGATGCGTCGTTGTTCGTGGGACTCTTGACCCAGCCCTGACCCGGGCTGCTTCGGCCCAAAAGAAAGGCGACCAAGAATACCTTCTTCTGCAGATGCACATGAAACCACATGGAATTTCAACACCGCTGAGAAATTTTGAGGAAATGGATCCACCCTACACGGGTCTTTCTTCTCAGGGTCCATGTTAGTCAGCAGGGGGGGGTCCAACTTGGAGAATGCCAACAGTTCCAAACCGAAAGGTTTTTGAGTCCCTTGCTAAGTGAGGCACTCCTATCCCCCACTAAAACCCCTTGTGAGTCCTGCTGGTGTCACTGATTTATTCTCACCTCCCTGGTGGGGTTGTTAGATTTGATCTCAGCTGTCAACTCATCCTCCTGGCGCTCCTGGCGCTCCTTCCTTCCTTCCTTTTTCCGGGGAGCTCAGTGGGCACCGCCGGACCTGAAGCACGAGTGCCAGATTGCAGTGAGCCAGCTTCGCTGATGTCGGAAAGAATGCCAGAATATATATGCCAGATAGATGGCCAGAATATATGCCAATTATAATGCCAGTATGCCAGATACTGTAGACTGTCAGAAAATATGCGCGAGAAGAGCCAGTATAGATGCTATAGATAGGATGGCGGACTGAGTGTCAGAATATGTGTCAGATAGAAGGCCACCATACATGCAAAGTAGCATGTCACAATAGATGCCCTTCAATAGAATGATACAATAGATGTCAATTACAACGTCAGAATAGATGCCAGATAAGTCGTCACCATAAAAACCAGATTATATTTCAACATGTATGCCAGACAGCGTGCCAGAAAGAATGCGGGAGGTGTGCCAAGTAGGGTGCCGGAAGTGCTGACAGAAGATATCGGGTCCACACTCATCACTAGAGTGCAGTGGACACCGCCGAACCCGAAATGCCATGGCGAGAATCACTCAATTATTTTTGGATTTTGTAAATGTTGAATATACAGTTGAGTTTTCATATCAATATATGTACATACAGTATATATATATAGAGAGAGACCCTCTCAGCAGTTGATGTGAACATTTGGGAACATATTCTGATGGAAGAGCGAACCCAGTTGCCCTATTGGAGTGCTTTTCCAGCCCAACCACCTCCCAGGCGTGGTGTGCGCTTGTCTGGCGAAGCCAGCATTGTACGCCAGGCACAGCTGAAAGTAGCTGGAACAAATACGATAAAACACAAACACTTGCTGGTTTTGAGCACTAGGTGAGCTATCTCAAATCATGACCACGGGGCTTGTTGTGGCACAGCTCGGCCAACGTCCGCTGCCGGCCAAAAGGACCACTCTGGGTCCTTTGTGGGATCTGAAGTTGACAAGGAAGGTGGCCGAAACAGGTGCATAGGACCCTTGAGGGACCACCATTCCTGAATGAAAAGGGCATGCCTGAAATCTGCAGGGAGGGATTGGCAGGTTGCACGAAGAGGTAGACAAAACGGATGACACATATTGACATGAATCAGTTCATGTGTTTCATTGAAGTCAACCTATTTCATAGACAAAACATATGATCTATATATGTCAGTTTCATGTTTGTTTGGAGTTTCACATATATATATATATATAAGTCTTACCAGACACCAACCTTCTTCCACAGCAATCCTCCATTTCGAGCATTTCTCCTTCGGGTCCTGGATTCAACATCACCCACAAACCTGGTCGCTCGCTCGTTCGCATGGGAGGTTTGCTTTGGTCGCGTTGATTGGCACCTTAGGTGCGGAGACCTGGGTCACCCGGGCGGATGACCTGGGTCGCTGGATGGTCGGCAGTCCCTTCGACGGTAAGGAGCAAGATGGAATTTCCGGGTTTTGGTGGGACAAGGTAATTCTTGGTGCGAAATTCGTGAACTACGTCCATGAGGGATATCGGGGTTAGACTTGGCAGATGTTGCAAGGTGTTTGCACACCTAGCCAAGGTGTCAGGTTCTTCTTGACGATTTGAATGAGGCTGAGCCTGAAGGAGTTGGTGCAAGCCTTATGATGAGCCTAAAGGCCTGAAGATCCAAAAGAGTGCCAAGATGGCGAGGGCATCACCAGCATCCCCGCTGCTGAGGCCAGCTTCCGATGGCGTACTTGGCCATCCCCGTCACGTTTAAAGACCACCTGGGTGGCAGGGCCTTGGGTTCAAGGTGAAGAGCGTGCTTTGGTAAAACGTTTGGTTCTCTTTGGGCACTATGGGCACTGGCTGCAGGGAGTTGGTGCGCTGTCTGTGGTGAGTTGGGGCAAAAGGCTTTTTGTGTCCCTTTGTTTTTGGATGTTCACATAATCTTCTACTCCAGGATTACTTATGCATAACATTACTATATACTTGGCAGTTTCACTTCTCACCGGCACTGGTCTCTATCATGTTCCAGCATCACTTAAGATATAAAGCATCACTTGATCCTTGCGCGCTGTGATTATTAGGCATACTGTATACTCAGGAGATCTTGAAACACCCTTTCTGTGCCAGAACCGTTTCAACTTGCTGGTGTTCTTCCTCCGGTTCCTCTCCTACGCCTACGCTCGCTTCTTGTACGGGCCGTAAGGACACGGGTTCACGTGGTGCGGATTCCAAAACGGTGAATCGGTTGTTTCACCGAAAATCACGTGCTTTTCCTTTCGATGAGTTCTACTTCAGTTTGTGTGGCAATTTCAATTTCAGTCTACTCTCCCTGCACGTAACACCCACCGTCCACGGCACGACACACTCCAAATACACGAGGTGTGCAACCGTGCAAACCTCCAAGGTGCAACCTCCTCCGGACGATCGATACCCTGCGCGGCGATGCGCTGGTCATCAATCCAGATCCATGAGACCAGAAAAACGAAGTGTCCCACGACTTGAGCCTGGAGGGTGACCGAGAACGCCAAAGGATGGAGTGCAGAGTCTTGTAAAAAGCGTCCCACTTTTACACACTCTGTTAAACACTGTTATAATAACATCAACATGTCTAGTTAAGGAAGCTCTTCTTAAAACCACTTACCACTTTTAAACACCTATAGAAACACCCAAGAGTCAACAACCACGCCGTAGCCTAGTTGCTGACGCATGATGTTTTGATTTACTGGAGTTAGTAATCTTTTGAGGCTTCTTGAGCAAGTTGCTTGGAAGTCACGCGTGATAAATTCCATGTTTGTGGAAGATGCCGAAGATGCCTTTCCAAATAGATACAGTTGGCCCACGAGTCCAAGCCACCAAGAAAAACCAACAATGTACATTTGATTGAAATACCTCTTGTTTGATTCGCTTGATACCCCATGCAAAGATGCTGAAGATGCAGGGTTTCTAGACGACTTTCTGCAGAGTGCGCAAAACATCGTGAAGTTTGTAAAACAAGGGTGGTGTTTCATGACAAGGTTTCGTGGATTTCCGGAAGAACACAGGTTTCTGGATGTTGCAAAATACGTTCCTTGGACACCATGGTGTCGTCTTCTTTCTACTTCCCTGACCTTTTTCTTGGTTCAGCACAGATCGCAAATCCAATGAACAGCGAGGTTGAAGGTTGAAACATCACTAATCAAAACACAACAACAACATAGGGTTCCTACAGCAACAATATAGCTTTGAACATCTTTGAACAATGAACACTCATTAATAGCCTTTGCTGAACAGGGATGTGAGCGACATGAACCAACGCTACTCAGCTCTCCAAACAGAACAAATTTGCTGCAACAAAATAACAACAGAAACGCTGATACGCTGCTCAGCCCCCCCTCCTGGGTTCGTACATTTGGGCAGTTGAAATATCAAGACGGTCTGCGCACGGTTCCGTGTGTGGAACGAAGTGACGCTGGTTCGTACAGGTCGTGGTGGTGCTGGTGGTTGGTGGTGACAGCAAAACCAAACAGCGAAGAAGGCAAACCTTTCTGGCTGGGGGCGATGCAAACACAAAACTGCTGATAGATGCTAAATGTTTCATGAAATAATTACTTCAAGTTTCTGGTCATATGAGCGACCACTGTTATTTGGTGTTGACAAATGTAGCCTACGGCATGCTCAATTTCTTTGTCCAACATCAGTATTCGCTGGTGAACGAGATATGGCCCCCATGCAAACGGGACTGGCATATATGCATACATTGACCCCCCAAACCACCCCAACTGATCGGCATATATGGCAGTCCCATGGAGCATCCGGGGTTAGTGTATGTGCGTTAAAATATAAATGTCTCCGCTCATATGTATTTGATGTGTTCGTCAGTGAGTTGTAGGGGGTTTTTCCTGTGAAGAGGTACTATGATGTGTTGGTTTTCACTCCTGGAGCAAATGGTAGTTTTATTCCTGTGGGCACATATTGCAAAATTGCATATTCTTTTGGCCACTCATGGCTTCCACGGTTCCGTTGTGAAACCCATTTGATTGCTTTTGACACCGACACATGTCGCCATTGTGCAATCCAACGGCAGAGTTTCGATGTTCAAAGATGGAGAAAGGACACCAGCGAACGTCGTTTCCACAGGACTACACAGGACTATATATATCTAGATTTCACGTGAACACTAGCGTTCCAACCAGCTTAGGACCCGCTTGAGGGTTTGTTGCCTCTATACAGCTTAGGACCCTACAGCCTACACTCAAACGTCAGAACAGCATAGAACAGCTATATAATTGCGACACATGTTCAACTATATTTAAAAAAAGAAAAAAATAGAAAAACAAAGAATAGCAGCAGAACATCTGATTCTCCATGTTCCTCTAATTTCGCAATAACCTGCAGCGCAGACACATTGCTTTCCATGCATGTTACTCTCCTCAGAGTTCGTCCAGAGGTGTAGCGCTGAGCTCAGTTCCGGGAAACTCAACAAATGTGTGAGGTACTTGCGCGCCAACAAACACGGAAGTGGAGTTCACCACCTGTTTGTCGAGGCTTTCATGGTCATCCAATGCAAAGCTATCCAAGGGCCCATGCATCCACTTTCATGATTGTTGCGGAGCTTGTGGTGAAGAACTGTGGCCCTTAGGCAGAAGGTCCACAGCCATGTGTTTTTTTGGTTTCTTGGGTAGGCGTGGTAGCTTTTTGACCTTGGCCTCCATTGTTGCTTGGAAACGGCACTGCATCTCTGACTTTGCCGCTTCTGATAGAGGACAAACTAGGAAAACACAAACATGACTTATTACTCGAAGAGCATCAGGATGAACTCGCTGTTCTTCTCCAACCTTTTTTACAGGCTTTGTAAGTGAGCATCATCCTCTTCTCTCAGGTTTGTGGCCCATGAAGACGGTTTGTTTTCCGATGACTGTGTATGGAAGCTTCCAATACCCCCATGAAATCCTTCAGTGCGGACGGCAATCATGGTGAACACGTCCGAGGGCTAGGCCACTATCTCTCCTGGCCCACATCCTCAGAAGCCACCTCAACCACCTGAGGATGCGGTTGGAGGGTATTGTGGAAATGGGTCGTTCAACCTGGAGCCCAACCAGTCCACCATCTAGCGAACCACCTCACCTATGGTAGGTCAACCGGCCGGTCTCCTTGTGCCTAGTTCCCCACAGCCGTATGAGCGGGCATTCTTCAATGGGGGAGAGACCTCCCAGGCGTCCCTACCCCGCCGGGGCGATCCGGTTCTTGAAAGGGTTCAGCTCAGCAGTACTTTGCGACATGTGTCCTCCCAGTTAACAGAGTTATATATCATAACTTGAGGGGACTCATATTGTACATATGGAATATGAAATATGTTCCATAGTTTCACACAAAAGTGTTGATCATCCCGTAAAGCGTTTTTGTTGATATTTGTTTCCTTCAAGCGGCGTTCAATCGTTTGATTTCTCCGAGGTTCTTCCACGGCTCGAGGGCCAAGCTGAGGGGTGGGTTCAGTGTTGGAAGAGGGGATGGGGCGAAGATGATGAGTTGGCTGGTTGAAACTGATGGGTGGGGGGGTGGTTGGGGCCGTTACTTGTTGTTTTTTAGATTAGAATCTTTTTGGGGGGTGGCTTGGGTGGCAAACCACGAGGCAGGTCAGTGATGACAAGGCTACAGGACCCAGAATGGAGCAAAGTTGGGTACTTTTTGGGATGTGTTCACAGGTGAAGTCCACAACTGGCAGTAACAACAGCCACAAGCAACACACTAAGGTTTGGAAGTGACTTACACGCCCCTGTTGGATTTGGAAGTGACTTATAGCCTATGCAGCCACGATTTGGAGGGGAGTAACTCACTTGCGTTGCTGTTTTGTTGTTCATGCACTTGTCAAAGAGTGTTTGAAGAAAAAGTTGTTGAAACATGATGAAACAGTTTCCAGAATGCTGGCCTCCCCAAGCACCTGTGAGGACAGACGAAGACCTAGAAAGTACTAACTCCACAGCATTGGATCCAACAGGAGTCAGCTTCCACAGCTGAGAATGCGAAGGCAGCTCGGCAGGGCACGAGATGGGAACCGAATCTTTTTGGAGATAGAACATCAAGCATTTCACTTAAGAACGCGGTTTTGTTTCCTCATGTTTGGTTCTCTACTTCAGGATGACAAAACATGTAGTGCATATAACAACTATATTATATATAGTATATTAAATTGCAAACATATTACATTACAATATACTGTACTATATATATATATATTTATACACATGTAGCCATACATGGCTTGCTTAGTTCCGGCTGAGGTTTGTGGGAGAGACTTGACCACTTGGATGACGAGAACACCTCTTTTGAGATCAACACCAAAAGCCCAATCCTGCATGACGAAGATTGGCCAAATTGGCGTTTATCAAATCAACATTATCACTCCCCAGGGAACCGACAACCAACGAATCACACTAGGCAAGTTAACCCAAAGGAGCAGTTTTGAGTGGTTGTGGCACGCCGAACAGAAGATGAAACCGAAGACTTCAGGATCAAATGAGTTGACTTAAGAAGATGGGCAGAGCCTTCTCCTCGTCTCATAGACAACCCATCCCGACCTCAACCAGTGAAATCCATGGCTCGTGGCGCTACCGTCTGTTTGAGCCACGGCGAGGCCTCTCCGGCCTTGAAGACCACGAGCAGCAACGATGAGCCTCTCGGGCTCGGAGGGTTTGTGGCGCTCCCTTTTTGGGCCAGGCTCGTTTTGGACAAATCCACTCCTTGGGATGGTTTAGTCCACTCCTTGGAATGGTTTGGGATAGGAGCGGGTGGTGGCCGGTTTTTGTGCCAGAATCCCGGAGACATGTTCGGATCTGGACCAGCGGCATCTCAGGGCTTTCGAAATTTGAGGACGGCAGGCCCATCATGCCACAAGAATCCAAAAGATTTGGTGGATGAGCTTGATTCCCTTCGCATGCGTAGCACGCGTTGCGAAACACATGAAGGCCCCCCCCGGCGATTTCCTCATTGCGTGCTCACATTGTGGAACTTGAGGAAAGTCACTAAGTTGGTGCAGCGGATGAGTGTGGCTTGGCTGCAAGATCTAAATCATCCTGCACAAGGCAAAACGCGAATGGAAGCTGCTTTGCGGAAGCTGTTGACAGTCTTTGCTCGGCGTCGAAGCTGGTCAGAATCCACTGGTCAAAACGGGTCAATTGGTCCTTGGTGCTTCAAGCAAAACCGTTTCTTATGGCTTCTAGCTACTAGTAGTAATGCCAGGAGCTACTAAAGTAGCGTCTTGCTCCTAGTAGCGATGCCCTTTGCTAAATACTAGTAGCTTCTTGTTCGGACCCCTACTGGTCAACCGTTTCCTGGGTTTGCTTCAAGGATGACTGACCCAAAGGATCATGGGAGATCCGCCACGTGTCCGACTATGGCAGTGTTCGGAAGAAAAACTCATGAACGAACGCATGGTTCTTTGATGTTTACAGTATGATGATTTTATTACTGAAAATAATTCAGATGCAGATGTTTCAAGGATCTGGTCTTCGGTTGACCTTCGACCGTTCAAGCCTGCGGGCCGTCGACCCGCCCCTGCCCACCGAGGCAAGACATTTGGAGCTCATCCGGGAGTTGAGCGCGAAGAATCGCGAAAAGGAGGCCGGTCCCTGTCGAGCTCGCACAGCTGTCGATGTGAAGGAGGCCGGTCCGATTTCGACCGAGACTTCTTGAAAGCAGGACCCAATGAGGTGGTCTGTCTCGCGATGCCCGGAGCTCCGTGTCTGTCTCGCGATGCCAAGTTCGCCCCGTTCGTAGCGTCTAAAACACATCATGGTGAGGTGGAACGACCACCTGTTTCAGCGGATTTGGATCATCGCAGGGCCCGGAGGCATCCACGTTGCCGTGTAGGGGAACAGAGTCCTGGACGGTCTCTTCCGCAGCGGTCTGCACCGTCGCTCCATGTTCGCCACGTCTGCTGCGGTGGTGTCGGTCGCTCCATGTTCGCCACGTCTTCCCGGACCGGACCCGACGCAAGGAGTCGATATCGAATCTAAGATGAGTTCTAGGGTTTGGACATGTTTTGACTGTTATGTTTTCTCCCTAGGAACATGGAGATGAGCATGGAAAGTGGGTCTAGGAACATACATGCGAAAGCTCATGAAACCCCATTTCTTTGTTCCAGAGTGTAGCTCTCCTGCGGTCCGCTTCAGGAACAGTTAAAGAAAGATGAGCAACGGCAACGCAAAAGGGAGAGCTCCCTACGCACACGAATCCTGGCGCGGATGGGTCGGGACCTTGGGACCTTGGACGGTGAAGAAGAGCATGACAAATGGCATCAAGACTTGGAAGTTATTTGTGGATGTGCCTGGTATCTACTTACTTTGAAGATCTTTGAACATTTCCCAGTGACACCCCCCCCACGAGGACAGCCCACTACAAATCACTGCAAAGTGTCGCTTGGACTCATACTCCTTGTGTGAATAATCTTCAGGCTCTCGTGAACAGCTGGAAGCACCCAGATCAATGACAATTCTCCAGGGGTTGCGGACAAAGCCAGGTACATGATGCCAAGCAATTGCAATAGTTGTTACCGTGCCTCGCTGATTCGTAGAATATCCTTGTTTTTTCTGTTGTCAGAAGAGTGCTCATCCGTTGATGAGCAAACTTTGTATATATATATATACACAGACTCAGTCTGACAGGCTGCAGTTAAAGCACGCTAAAGCAACATGCAGCTCAATCGTCAGGTTGGACTCTATCATGGTAACAAGGACGCTACTAGGTCGGAGGCCATCGCTAGTAGGTCGGAGGCCATTACTACTAAGAACAAGAAACTACGAACGTAACAAGGACAACAAGGACAACAAGGACTGCAGAGTCCCACCCTGAAGAACCCTCGAAAGACTCGTGCCGGAAACAACTCCTGAGTGTGACCTCGCGTGACGCGACGGTCGGGCGGACTAGACCCAGGTGATGATGATGAGAAGTTGGACAAAGCTGATTATCCCAGCCTTCCACCGGATGAGTCCGCTCGCTTAGTCGAGGCTGAAAACAACACATCAGAAGTAGAGTATGTTTTTAAAGGTTATTTGTGTTTTGTTACAAAACGTTTCATGTTGTTGTGTTTTGAGGGTGCCCTGTGTGGGCCCCTCATTGTGAGCAAAGATTGGAACAAATGCTCTTGATTGTCCTGACAGATGCATGTGCTCAGTCACTAGGATCAGGCCAGTTGGGGCAGCGGAAAAAGCATCTCGTCTTTTTCATGTTCAACTGGAGGGGCCTTCCATTTCAACAGTCTTCCCATTTTTTCTTTGTGACTATAGGTATCCCAATCCAGTGTTGAAAACAAATTCCATGTCCTTCACATGTTCTCTGGTAGCGTTCGGGGGTTCAAGAGCATGGAACCCATGAATTTGTACTTAGTTGATGGACACATGCAGGTGGTAAGAAACACTCGCACTTGAAGTTGGCATTTTGTTCGAGTTTCAGTTGGTTGCACGTGTGATGGTCCAAGGACGGCATCAGCCGACGAGAGAAGACTATGGAAGGTGCCAGTTCCTTTCATGCGGACTCACACGAGTGATAAAACTAAGTATGGACACACCATGTCACACCCACAGAACCATCACAAAACCATGCAAACTCCGAACTCTCCAGCCAAAAACAGATATCCTGTTTGTGGATGTTGACCTGCGTGTTGTCGGGCAGCTTCTTGTTGTCGAGCTTCAGATCGCATGTCGATGGGTAGCAGGGCCGTGCAAGACCAGCAAAGACGCCCCACCACATCGCATCCCCAAGTTGCGCGACGAGTTCACAACGGGCTTTGGACTGCTCTTCACAAGGTCAATCAAACTGCTACATGACCATGAAGCTCTGCTACCAAGGGCTGGAAAAGAGGCAGAGATAGAGACATTCTATCCATGATCCATCTAACCCCAAAGAATGAGAGGCATGGGCAGGTTTGCTTTCATGGCAAAATACCACAGTTGAGGTCCAAACGATGCAATCAAATGGATCCAAGATCCTCATGGAAGGTCTCGGTCTATCCAAGCGACACACGATCTTCATCATCTTCATCTCAGTGCCTGAAAGACACCTTGTTTTGGTACCCCTGGTGGCGCTTTTGATTGTTTTCTTGGAACTCAGTGGCCACTTTGCCCCCCCCGGACACAAAATCAGACACGTTGGACATGTCACAGTAGCGCTTCTACTTGGCATGCGCAAAAAGCGCGCGCGGCACGTGCTTTTTGGCGCTGCACGCGCAGCGTGTTGCGGCCAGTTGAAGTGCAACATGGATATTGAGCGACGGCAGCAAGAAGCCATCCAGCGGCTGCAGGAGGGGATGTGGTTTCACGCCGGACACGTCCAGCATCTTCGGGGGCTGGGAGGAAAACACCGCAGTCTGCGATGCAGCGGGACCTCGCCCCTCTGGTTTTGGAATGCGCTTCAGAAGCCTGTCGCGCCAGGGGACTAGATATTTGATGATGTTTGTACACTCCCTGAAATCATCATGGAGGTGTAACTTTCACCCTTCAAGCCTTGGATGAAATCCCGTACAAAGAGGTGGTGAACTTCCATGTTACTCGGAGTGTAGCTGAAGACTGTAGACACCTGTGTTTACCATTTTAGGATGGTTTAAGGCAGGGTGAAAACTGCGCGCTTTCGCTCAGACACTGCAAACCCGAAGGATGGTGGTGTGCAAACACGCATGCATCTCCATCATTCAAGCAACTGTTGTTGCGCATATGACATCATATGAGCAGAGTTGTTTGTTTGATAGATGTAAATAGTCTATACAATAACACCTTACATAAGCAAAATGAAACACTTATACACCTTACAAAACACCTTACTTATACCACTTTACAACATGAAACATGAGTTATCACCTTTTGCAAACGATCCGAGATCACCAACGGCCCGCAAACGATCGAAAAATGATCGTTACCACGATCGTCCAACAAAGGGCCACCGATCCACTGGAGGAGTTCCAAAGGGTGAAGAGCCTGAAGCTGGAGCGAGAGCAACTCAAGCGTGGGAAACCTCAGTGGCCGCCGCAACTTCTGCGCCGCAAATGCAGACCACGCAAATGCGCCCGCGCCGGCGCGCCGTTGGTTTGTGTTTTATATTTGGGTTTTAGAATCTTAGTAGACGGAAGACCTCAGGTAATGTAGTGGGGCTACAAAGAAAGGGCAGGTGTGGATAGGTGTGGGATTTGCTGCTATTGTTTAGCTCTAGGGTATATAATTGTTTGGGTTGGCGTTTCCTTGTTTTCAACGTGTATCGTGCTTGGGCTGCTGTTTTGACCACAAGTGCGGAACGGTTCCAAAGAGAACGACAAAGTGTTGTGGATGTCATACAATCAATCTGCCAAGATTTGTGGCTTGCCATGTTTCTTTCTTGGACAGCAGCGTACGCTGGGTGGCTGCAGCGTTTCGTAGCATCTTTGGGGCAGCGTTTCGCAGCATGGTGCTGAGCAGAGTGACCGTTCTTCGTTTCCCAGGTGTTAAACCCGACATGTGACGTCTGACAATCAATGACATGTGTGGCTCCAAGATGTTAGGCTCGATGTTGGACCTCTAAGTCTACAAGTACTAGAATCGATGTACTGAGAAGTGTTTTATCCCGATTTCCCTCGTGCAGCCATTCGTTTTTGGTCCGCCCAGGGCTTACTTGTGCGCGCGTTTCGTCCGCACAAGTGGCGTGCCCAGGGCAGTGGCGTGCCCATCGAGCAAAGAGCTATTTGCTGGAGCAATGCCAAAACACCGACCTGAAAGAGTACTTGGAGTCCAAGGAGGGTTCGCGAACCTATGCGGAGAGGGTTGCTGGATGTCGCTGGAACAACCCAGGACCAACCAAGAAGATCCTATTAGGACCTTAAGTCTAGACCAGAGTCTAGTTGTTTTTGATGAGAGACTCTTAAAAGCAGGAGGGGCTCGACCTGCAAAGTAGGAATCGGTGGCATTGTCGATCATGATTCGACCAGACAATGAGGGGGTCATAAGTCATAATGTTACTGTATGAGTATGATGCATCAGTAGTGACACATGACTATTCTTGGAGGGCCAGAGCTTGCCTCAGATCAGGGTCAAATTGGCTCAGATTTGGAGAGACACTAATCCGTATCACGCTGGACTACCATTAATTAACTATTTGTTGGCTGTCATGCCCTTCTCAATCAATGAATCATCCAGCCCAACTCATGACGAAATGAACTGGTTCGACCGTCGATGTTCACGTCCCTGACGACTTTCGCGGCAAGCTCTGACTCCAGTCCTTCAAAGACGTCGGCACCGTGGTCGCGGAAGCCGCCGCTTTTCCGGAGCGCCAGGAGAAGCCACGAGCACTTCCCCGACTTCCACCTCGAGAGGTGGAGCTGACAGTTGGATTGAGGGGTGCAGGTGGTTGGACATTGGAACTCCTATGAGCTCCTTTCTGAGGTCTCTAATTACATCATTTGAAAGCTCACCAAGCACTGGGGTGGAGCGGGTATTGGTTGCCATACCCCTGGTCCAGCCAGCTAGGCAGAATTGAATCCTATAGCTGTGAAGCGATTGGCAAAGGCTGTCCGGTTATGTTCAAAATTAGAACTATCCTGGCGTCGTTAAATATATCGTTGCATGATTGTGTCAACATACTTGATTCTCGGAACATACTCGGAACTAATTAGCATTCATTAGCAATAATTAACTTATAAGTACCAAGCTCTTTTGGATGGGATGATCTAATCATCTGTAGCTACATTGCCACACAAAACGATCACGGGTCGAGGGTCCCATCAGCCAGCCTTGAACTTGTGCACGATTGGTCCTGGGAGTCCGCTTTTGTTGTCACCCAAATCGCTCGCGGCTCGCGGTCATCGGACACCGGAGTGTCGTGGCACCGGCGAATGACCGGTATTCAATCGCTGAAAGGAAGCGGCTCAGTCCAATGACAACACTCCATGTTCACTGATTCATAAGACTCATAAGACCATCCATCATCCGTTTTATCGATATTATCCATTATGTAATATACATATACCATGTATAATTATATATATACCTAGGGCCTCTAGGTCCTTCCTTTTGGAAGGTCTCTTCAAGAATATGGGTCCAAGGTCTGAAAACCTGGTTTTTCATGAAAGGGACGTATTCTGACAATCGACCCGTATTTTGAATTATCAGCTTTGGTCAACTTAAATTGATGACATTCAAAGAAGGATTCAACTCTAATCCCTCCACTCATCCACACTTCCAGCAGCCATCCGCACGCTCAGCGAGCATTTTCTTGGGGCGACGTGGACAAGATCTTGAAGAGCAAGAGGTGGGAAGCCTAGCCGTGGAAGGATCAAGGGCAACCAAAGGGAACCCAATGGGTTCAGAACATTGCCCAGCAACCTTATCCCACACCCATAATCAAGCAAACTAATATAATAGATGTGTATTGGGTTTAAGTTTGAGGGCATTCATGTTCCAATAGTGTTTTTTTTACTTGAGGGTGTCCACACTCTCAAAAACAACTTTGTCCTACAATCACCCCTGCGACCTCCAGAGGCATTTTGGATCAGGTCAAGTCTTCTCTTACCAGCTGCTTCTTTACTGAAGCATGCAGTCAGCTTCACCCTTAGAAGGTGTAGCGAAAGAATGGGAAGAGAGTGAAGAAATTAGAGCCCACATGCGTGAGCACCGATGCTTGCTGCGAAAAGAGCTATGGGATGAACACGTGAAGATTGATGTCCGCCATGCAGAAATGAACTTTCCTGTTCTTCGGGTTTTGGTTCGCCGCTTGCGTGACGAAGGGGGGAACGTCAGCATGCTTACAATTCCACACATCATCTCTGAGAATCCTGGTGGGACAAAGAAGTGTTCATTATGTGTATTGTTATTGTTTTCTTATGTATGTGCGTGTTTTTTTTTTCTGGAATCTTAGTGGGTGTAAGGATGATGAAATTGTACACTCTCATGAACCTCAGCCTCCCCCGCAAGAAGGACATCAAACAGGAAGCGAAAACCATGAAGAAGTTTCTTGTCTTGGTCAAGAGGAAGTTGCAACGCCAACAGCTTTGCAGATCTTATCTCTTCCGAAGGTTGTTGAGCATGGTGTTCGATCCCGATGAGAAGGACACCTTTGTTGAAAAACACCTGATTCTGGTGTGGTTCAACCCGATAGGTTTCAATCTATATGGTCCACATGGTCTTACCTTTTTTTTACTTCATTTTCCAAATGTCCCTTCAGGAGCCAGTTTGTGAGGATATTGAGGAAACAGGTGAGGACCTAGAAGAGAGTGAGGTTGAAATTGAAGAGGAAGAGGAAGAGGAAAATGAGGATCCAGAAACTCAGGAAGCAGCAGACACTCAAGAAGATAGTGAGGACAAAGTGGAATTGGCGGAGGTGGAGGAGGAAACAAAAGTGCGTCCCGTGTCACCTGATTCCCAACCGCTTTTTGACTACGAGGATTCCCAGGTACTTGAATCCCAGCTACCTGAAACCGTGCCATCCCAGAATGCATTGGTGGAGGATGAAGTCATTGAAATTGATGAAACTCCTTCTCCTGAACCGCTTTGTGATGAGAAGATCCCAGAGAAAAATGCTAGCGAAGAAGAAGAGACCAAACAAGAGAAGGGGTGGAAAGAGGCTAGGATCGATGCGCTAAAGGAGCAAATTGCTAAATTGAAAAAAGCATGGACGGCAAAGTGTCTTGGTTTTCAATACGCCAGTTGTATACTTTTTCTTCGCTTTTGTGTTTCTTTGCACCCTGTTGGTGGAAATGTTGTTTGTTTTAAGATCTGAATTTGTGTCTCAGGCAAGCCCGAGATTCCCTCAAACACGAACAAGCCTCTGACAAGACCGCCTTGGCTTACGCTGAAGACGATTTTGATACCCAATTCGACCCCATGATCGAGGAGCTCGCGAATCGATATCAAGCAATGATGAACATCGAAGAGATACCATCGGCCCCAACAGCTACTTGTCAACCATGTATGTGATTGATTTGTTTTACTGTTTTGTTTTGATTTCCCCATACCATAAAGAGTGTACCCTCTCTAAACTTGACAACTGTTTGCTTTCAGGTTCTGCGACGTCAGCAGCTTGCTCTCAAGACAGATGACCCTGAAGAAGAAAAAGGAACTGAGAAGAATGGGAAGGCTGAGGAGGGAAAGGATGGTGGCAGGGGTAGGGGCAGAGGCAAAGGCAAAGGAAGAGGCAAAGGGAAGAAAACACGCAAAGCAAGTGAAGGAAAGAGCAACAAGGAAAGTGCAAATGAGGAGGATGACGAGGATCATGATATGAAGAACAAGTCCCGAACAGGAAAAAGGAAAACATCGCAGCTTGAAGGTGAAAGCTGTGGTGGTGGTGAAGGCGGGGAAGAGATGCCTGAAAAGAACCATGGACAAGTTCAGGCCGATGCTACCAAGCATGAAGATACGATCGATGAGGAGGCAAGCAAGGATGATATGAAGAATGTGAAGGGCATCGTTTGTGACAAGACAGAGGCAAAGGCAGAGAAAGCGCCTGTCACCTTGGAGGACAACAAAAAGGATGAGGCCGGAGGTGCTGCGGCAAAAGCACAAAGCATGAACAAGAGGGCGAGGAAGTCCAAAAAGGAAGAAACTAATGAAGACAAGGAGGTGGAAGTGGCTTCGAGTGAAAGGCCCAAAGATGTGAAGATGAATGGAAAGGCAGCCTCGATTGAGAGCACAAAGGTGGAGGAAACAAAGGAGCCTGAGAAGCCAATGAAGAGACCTGAGGATGTGCATGAAAAAAAGGCGGAAGAAGAGAAATCCAAGACTCCCGCTGTTGAAGAGGTGGGTTTGGGCAAGACAGGTTCTGGAGGTGAAACTACAAATGAAGCTGCACCGGAAGGGGACACAAGAAAGCGAAAAGCAAGAAAGCCAAACAAGCCAGAAAATGGACAGGAGACGAAAACAAGGAGAAACAATAAAGCAGACAAGGAAGAGATTAAGGATGGAAATGATGATGAGCCAAAGGTGGCAACGGGTGGGCGGGAGGACATTGAAGATGAAGGAATGGAGTCACAGCCAAAAGCAACCAAGCCCAAGGGCGGAAAAAACAAAAACCTGTCAAAGGAAGCGGAAAGTGGAGGCTCTGCTCAGCCACTTGCAGAAAGGAAGTTGAGGAAAAGACTAAGACAAGCAAGCAGCAAGGAGGGTCCTGAAGAACAGGAGAAGATGAAAGCAAGTGGGAACAATGAAGCCGATGATGACGCAGAAATCCCTGAAGTAAAGCCTAAAAGGCAGCGTTCAGCGGTTGCGGCAACCTTTGCTCGAAGAGCATGCCCAAAAAGCGTGAATGGCAAGATGAAGTGGGAAGCCCTGAGGAGGGCATTCGAGACCTACATCAAATCCGAGCTCAAAGCCTACAGTGCCCACGAGGACTCTTGGGGTTGCTGAGTATGAGGTCCACCAAGCCCCTTTAAAGAACACTCAGGAATTTATGTTTGGGATACGTGGGTGCACTTGGTTTCTGTAGGTACCTTCGTTTGACCTTTTTGATACCAATTTGTCAATCCCCTTCACCCTGACCAGAACTCATTCTGGGCATTTGCGAGTGAACAGTTTGCCAAAGGGGAGCCGGTGCTCGACCACAACATCGATGCACAGGCTTCATCTGCTGCTTCATTGTATGTGGACTTGATGGTGAAGATAGGGACAATTCCACCTACTCGTGAGAGTGCTTAGATGTCTTCATGTTTTGCTCCAATTGCTAAAGGGAGCTCGTACAAGAATTGTGGCCCCAAAAATTCCTGAAGGTTCTTAGTCGTTCTACCAGTCTCAATGATTCCTTTGTCCTTTGTGGGATGGTTTTACAAATGTTGGTATTCACATATTGGATGATTCCAAAATGACATTTCAGGTGGCGCAATGCAATTGTCTTGAATGGGGTCTACAAAAACCCCGTGAACCAATCTATCGGCCTGGTGTTTCTAAACACCAATGCTTTCTAGTGAAGGGTAGCGCAGGTGCTAGATTGCAGCTCTGGCTGGAAGGGGTTTCAAAGTCTGCCGGTGACTGTGACGCCGTTTCCAACCTAGGAGAAAGAGCTTTTGTTTCTGCACCACAACTTTGGGTAACACTGGCAGATGGAGAGCCAGCTCAGTGCTCAAAACCACGTGCCTTCCTGGTGGAAAAAACATGCGGCAATGCAGCTTTCTAGTTATGGATGAGTCCTCAAAAGGGAGTACGCTTTCACTTGTATCTTCTTGTTGGCTAGTCTTATACATGTCAATTGTTATTTGAGTCAGGATGTATCTATGAAGTTATAAAGGGAGTCAGAGTTGGGTTTCCAAATAGGCGGCTTCCATCCCAGACTTCTCCGCGAACTCCCCCCACACCTTTCCCTCTGACCCACCCTCCTTGCCTCAACAATGCCAGCGCTGCTGCTGCCCGGTCTGAGGCACCTCATGGATGGCGAGGCGATTGATCAATGACAGATGGAACGGTGCGCTTGGCATGTCTACTCGGGGGTGGCAAAGCTTTAAAGATGCAATGCAATGCACTGAAACTTCATAGCACCCAGCCAGATTTTGCCCAAAGTCTCCTTACTTGTTTGTGGGTGCGTGGGTGGTTTGGCCATGGACCCAGTGAAACTGGGGAAGCTTAATACTGTGATCAATCGCCTCCACCTGATGGGAGCACCAAAGGCTGGATTGTTTTATTTAATGTGCATGGATGTGTGCCTCCTCTGTTTTGTTTGCACTTCATGTTTGATCCCTGTCAGCTCTTGCTGGGTGCCGTGGTTCTTCTGGCCCTCAACCAGGACGTCTCCACGTTTTCAGAGGCTGGCGACTAGCAGACTTTCAGGCTTTATCCTGCCTCAACTTCTTCCGACAACATGGCCAGCCTAGAGTCTAGAGATGTGTGTTTTGGAGGCTCACCACCCCAAACATTACATAACTATATGGTCTGGGCTTTCATTTGCGCAACCCTGCGCACAGGCCTATGGGTTTCTTGAATTCTTTGCTGGAGAGGCTTGGGTCTCAAAAGTAATGCGGTGGCGTGAGGTGCCAACTGCTTCTTTCGATATCCGCTTTCATGAAGAAGGTCAGGAGGGTAAAGTGAGCCCGGCCATGGACCTCTTGTCGGATGCTGGATTTGGGTTCCTTTGGTGAAATGTTGTATAACTGATGTTTTTTTGAGGAAAAACACAAGGCGTTGTTTCAGTCCTACTCCCTTTTGGAATACATTTGGCATTTGCCCTACTTTCTACCAAGGTTAGCATTGTTGACTGTCTTGAACGCAAAGATGGGATCCTTTCTGGCAGTAATCGGTCTTGTTTGTCGAAGCTTTGTCACTATTTCTTCTGGCACCCACAAGAGAACACCATGGCGGCCTTTGGGGGATGAGCGGGTGGCAATGGTGCAAGAGGGCAATGGACTCCTCTCACGGACCTTTGATTGCCATTCAAGTACTTGTTTGTGAACAAAGATCCCACACGCTTCAGTAAGGTTCAACAAAGATAGAGCAGTTGGGATCTTGGTTTGCAACCCTGTGGGATTTGACATGGATCAAGGTGGCCTGTACAACCCCGCCAAACAATAATACAACCTATGGACAACCCATGTCTTTGCATTTTTTGGAAGCGTTCTGCATCTAAGGGTGACTTTGCTGATCATGGTGATATCCGCCATGGGTGGTTGCTGGTTGCTGGAGCAGCCACGGACAAGCCTCATCCTTTACCATCCCCGTACGCGACACTTGTGGCGCTTGCTCCCAAAGGTGCCCACAAGGGAATGGGTTTGAACAGGAACCCCCCCAAAAGCACCGTGCGTTGCTTGCTTCACAGTGGTTCGTGGTTTGAGGTTCATGCAACAACAGGGTGGGAGTGAGAGGGTTGGACATGTCCAAGACTACCGCCCAGGTGTATTCGGCCTCCTGGTGGATGGGCCTCTACAATGCCTTGACACCAAAGAGGCACATTGCCTTTTCCAATGCTACTGCTGTGAAGCTCCTGGATTTGGGGACCATGTCCAGGGAGGCTATGAACAAGCTTTCTAGACATGGTAGGAAGAGTGCAAAGACCTACATCAATAAACGAGGAAAAAAAAGCATTTGTTGGGACAAAGCACCTACGCTCCACACAGACTCTCTTTCCTTGATTTAATATGTTATTTTCTTTGGGGCCCATCCAAGACTGCACGAACAGAAGCATTTGGGCTATGGGTCATGTTCCTCTGATCTGAGGACCTATCCTCCAAGATTTGCTCTACGGATCGCCAAATACTATGATAGGTTCTGTGCTTCTTGTGAACCATTTCCCCCCTGAAGCAGACAGAGCACAAGTCTCTGCAAAGAGGATCTTCCAGCATATGTCTTGGGAAGATGATCCTTGGGACGATGCTGGGTTGAGGTCCCTGTTCATTTATCTTCGGGGAGCGACTGGTCTTGATCTGGGAGACTGGCGCCCCTTCTTCCCAACCATGCTTTAATTCCTAAATGTGTTGAAGACCTTTGGGGCAAGAATGATTTAATGGATTTGGGATTGTGGTTGTTCCTTCTTGTGCAAACATACCCGTGGATGAACCTTGACCCTCCAAAAATTAGACAGATACAATCAAGTTGCAACAGTAACTTACAACTTACAACCATTTACAAACCATAGTATGGACCATGGTGGTTGGGAAGACTTTAGGAGAACGTCGGCTGTGGGCATGTGGCAGCCTGATGGGATTGAAAAAAAAGCAGTGGTGAGTCAAACATAGTCAAACAGAACCTTTAGAATGTCATATTTAACTTTGGGACACTTGAAAGAAAGTTCTCTTCAACATCAAAGGTCTTTCACTTGCCTTTATAGAGTGTTTTATATTGTTTTAATGCTATTTCATAACTTTTTGGAAAAATCATGAAATACGTATTTTCTATGTAACATTTACGTATTAAATACGTATCAAAGGGGAACCCGTAAAAGGGACGTGTTTTGGCGTAATGGACCCGTTTTTTGGCGTACGAGAATACGTATTTTTCCCGTAATTAGGCTATATTTGGACTTAGGTGGTTTTGAGCTGACATAGTGCTTTTTTAGTGGTGTCTGGGTGGTTTTGAAGACTTTGAGATCATCTTGGTTGCAATTGGAAACAAACTATGGGTTTGTGGCACTGATAGGGTAACAAAATAACATAACATGCCATAACATGCAATTGGGCACAGGGGATCCTATAGACCTACTAGTGGATTCAAGGGGTCACCTTGTTAGTTAGATGTGTTCACTCTTCCCAATCATTGGATGTAGATCTCGTCGTGATGGCTTACAGCGGCCGCTCCTGGTGACTGTTGAGAAAAGGTTTGCATGGCAAATAAATTGCTCTCTAAATCCTGGAGCTGTGGTGATATGACAAGGAAACATGCCAAACTTATAGCGACCAAGAAGGAAAAAGACGATGAACTGCAAAAGAAGATCCAGGACCACTGTTATGTTTGAATGGCGCAACCCTTCCAGGTATCCAACATGCTTTGTGGGGGGGGGGGGGCAAGCTTTCTCCCAACTTTCTATTTCAAGGTTTGGGCACTGCGATGAGCACATGATGTTGAAATGTTTGGGAGATATCTTATCTTCATCTCTTTCTTCGCCAAAATGAATCATACATATTGATTCCCCCTGGAAGGACTACGAAGCAGAAATTGCAAAGCTCAAGGCCAGCCAAGGAGATGAACCAGTTCCCTGTCCTTTTTAGGAAAGGTTCAATTCCACCAACCTTTTTTAACTACAAAAACAAGGTGCCAACTTCACCTCCCTCCTGCTAAGGAGGCAGAAGCGGGTGCTGATGATGAGACCCAACCAGCCATCAGGCTGCATTATCGACCCCTTCGTTCGATAAAACAAAATGAAATGCTTACCCACAAGGTTTATTGGTCCATGGACATCACCACTTTTTCGATCTTCTCCAAGGCCACCCCATCACAACTGGCGGCTGCCAAGAAAAAGCGGGCTGAGAGACCTGTGGCCACCCCAGCCAGAGTCACTGCCCCCCATGTCGGTGGCTCGGGCAACCCTGCCGAGTCAAAGCGGTTGAAGCAAAAGCAGCCAGATCCTGACAAGGATAGGGCAATTGCAGAGTTGACCAAGGCTAGAGAGATTGGATTAGATGCGCATTTGTTTTGTTTCTTTTGGACTGGACATGGTCCTGCACATTGAGCTCTACTTATTTGTTTGGTGGCCCTGTCTAGGCAGGTTCAAAGATGCAACTCGAGATTGAGAAGCTCAAGGTGGAGTTGGAACAGGCCAAGGGGGCACCCGCTCCTAAGGCAAAAGCAGCTGCTGCTAAGTCAAAAGCAGCTGCTGCTAAGTCTGCACCTGCTCCTAAGTCTCCACCTGCTCCTAAGTCTGCACCTGCTAAGAAGGTGAGTTCTGAACCTGAGAGCCAAGGCAAACCTCCTCCGGAAACTGAGGCAGCAAAGATGGCTCGTCTCAGGAGGGTTTGCGAGCGTAAGCCCAGTGGCAAACTGATGGTCCCAGAGGAAGTGCACAATCGTTGGCGCACGGCCAATCACGATGAGCGTGTGGCCATGTGCGACGAGCTAGAAGCTGCTGGGTGGGACAAGGATTGACCCCATGTTTTGTGTGCTGCTCAACTTTGTTCAACAGGAAATATATGAGATATAAACCATCTGTAGCTATAATAGCACACTACTTTTTGGAATCTCAAACTGTGTTGATTACTGTGGCTCTAGGAGACCTTCGTCAAGCGCACCAAGATTCAGACCAAAACGAACAAGCTTACCAGGAAGAAAAAAACGGGGCTGGTACACAGAGGAACAGATGAAAACAAAGCTTGGTTGGAGCAAGCTTCTTTGATGATTCAGTTTGAAAGTTCATTGCATGGTTCAAGACAAAAGGAATCTACGAACCTCAACAGCCCAGGTCCTACATCAAGTCTGTGGTTGCTTACTGCCGACGCAAGGGCAATGAACGCCTTATCAAGACTCTTTTTTGCATTGGGGGTGTGAGTGAATTCAACTGCTGAGTTGATATTTCCTCACTCATTGGCATCGAACATTGAACCTCAAATCATATCAGCAATAATAATACCTATGGGGTGTCTTCATAGCTTCCTGTTTCATTTTGCAAGGAAGGACATCTACAACAAGAACCTTGAAAAGTTCTACGTGGTTGTGGACGAGAACGACACCGACGTGTCCGAGGATGAGGAAGTTGAGCAAAACATCAAAGAGGAAACTGTGCCCCAGCTGCCTTCATCAGCATTGGCATGCCACGTGGGATAGCCTCTGCATGTCCGAGCCGCTATCCTGAGGCGGAGGACTTCGACTTCCGCACGCTGGGGAAGGTCAAGGGGAAGAACGTGCCTGCAGAACCCGAGTCTGATCCGGATGGTTCGGGGTCAGAACCTGATGTTTCCAATGGTGCCCAGCAGGACTGGTAATTGTTTGCACAATTGTAAGATGGAATCTGTGAACGCAAAGAACATCGTAATGCTATTTTTGTTTCCTGGAGTTTGTTGTGTAGGAGTACCACCGTTTCAAGAAGTTCTCGGATAGCCTTCTTTCAAGAACGACCAAGCTATCAGAGTTGATTACCGACTTGGGATCGGCCCTTGACAACTCTGGCAAAGCATCAGACAGTTCTGAAGGAAAGCGTGTTTCACAGTCTTAGTCTTAGTCACTAATTTCATTTCATGTCTGGTAATCATCTTTTACCCCTTTGTGGTGCCCAGGTCTGTCGACAACCTGGAGAGTGCCATTGGAATCCTTGAGGCTGAGTATGAGGCATGTGAGGGCGTGCGATGTGAGATCGAAAAGCACAAGAAGGCCACCAAAGGCAGCCCAGGTGAAAAAGAGCCCTTTGTTTGCACAGAGTCGTACTTAAACTCTTTCATTGATAGCCCTCAGAAAACATATATACAATAATAATTCTAGCATCATCCAACCCAGGCTTCTTCAGAAGACCGACAAGCAAATGCAAGCGTCCTCGACAAAGTGCCTGGTCTTCATAGTCGCTGTTTGCACTACCTGCCGCAAACGGTGCCCAGGACATTTTACAGTATTCACACCAATGCCCGATTTGAGGTGCTCAAAGGTTACGACTCGGGAGAGTACCGCAAAGACTCTCGTCAGGGCAAAGTGGTTTGTTTCTTGCTAGCCATCAGGTTGTTAATGAAAATATGAAGCTGGCAATCTCCCTGCTTAACTTGTAGTTTGGCTAGCTGTCCTTTTACTTTGGTATCTAAGGGCTTTGCTGAAGACCCTCAAAAAGCTCGCCAGCGAGTGAGTGATATGGTTTGGAGTGATTGCTGATTTGTTTGGTGCCTCTTGAAGGGCACCAGGGATTTTGTGGGGGGAGGAGCCTACGAACATGTGCAAACAGCACGTGATAGGCTTTGCTTTGGGGTTTCAGGGTGTCAAGGACACTTGAATGAGTGTCTGACTTTTTGCGAGCGCTGCAAAAATCTTGATGCAGCGTGATCAATCTGGCACTAGCTAACTGCTAACTACCTAACCTTGTTTCCTGGAAAGGAGGATTGGATGCGCCAGGTCAACCCGACCGCCTTGTGGACCAGTACATGCGCTTGATCGGTGATGGAGCCAGGGCCTTTGGGATCCTGGAGAAGCATCACGAAAGAACATGTTTTGTTTCATGGTCGTGCAACATAGTTATGGCCTGTGTCCCTGTGCAGTGGCCACATGGCACAAATATAGATGTTGAACAGCAAACTGGCGTTTAGATGTTCTGCACAATTCTCGCAGCGGTCGTGTTTAGACATAACTGGATGAAAACAACTTCTTTGTGGTTCTTCTTACGTAGAGTGCTCACAAACTAGATGTGATGAGACTGCCCATCATGTTCACATCTCTTGCTTTAATGGAAGTTTTTTGTGGGAAACCAAAAGGGTTTCAACCAATTCTTGGTGCACTGTGGGTCACAGTGGTGGGTGTTCTTGAAAAAGTTTAATTAGTTTTTTTCTGGTAGGGAACTGTCCTGCAAGCAGTCCTGAACCAGCTCCATTGCCACCGCCCACCAGGCCACCAGGCAGTAAGCGCAAGCCAACATCAAGCAATGTAGACTGCAAAAGGAATCTCTTAATTTCCTGAATGCTTGTTTGTCACATGCACATGATAAGCTATAGCCAAAGAACATACACCTGGTGAGGGGATCATCTCAAGGGATCCTGCCCTTTCTCCGTGCCCTTCGACTGGAAACAAGTGAACACATTGGATCCCTGAGCCATGACCAAAAGCCTTCCCTCGGTACCATCCTATCCCATGCGAAAGCACTA